TGTATATACAGTTACCTTGTCAAAGGAATTGAAGCATTCAAATCATTGAAATAAAAAAATTGTCTAAAATGCCTCTTTTTTTAATTTCCTGTGCAAGCAAGGCCCTTTAATTGGGGGTGGGTAATGTAACGGAAATAGATAATTAAGGAAGGAGACAGGGCTTCCGAAGGGCCCCTGAGCCTCGCCGAGTGCCCAGAATTCCAGTGGGTATGTCAGTGATATACTCGAGAATATAAGGCGTCAGTCGATAGAGTCAGTTTCTGCTACAGTTACTGATAGAGTGCCAGAGGGACGTGTGCTATAAAAAAGGAATAAAAGGAAAAATTTTCATAAGTATTATTCTTTCGATGTGCAAAACAGAGTTTACCTAGTATGTAACAGTCTACGTGGCTTTTGCATAAGAAGGCAGTCCGTATACAGGTAGAAGTAACCTGTCGCTTCTGGAAGAAGCGACGTTTTGGCGCTTTGTTGTTATTTTGGGGCGCTTCTCGAAGTCGTTTGGGATTAGAAGCCCAATTGATTAAGAGCAGTTTGATTAATTTTTGTTTTTTTGCGTGTAGGGAAACCCGCTATCTGTATATTTTGCATATGTAAATAATTTTTCTGTCAACAATCAAATTCCTCAGCAAGGTATCTGGGGGGGCCCCTAGCCCAGAAAAATCATTTTATAGTATAAGTGTTGGGAAAATTTACAGTAGCATAAAATTAAAACAAGGTGTGTAGTTTTTGTGAGAATAATTTTTTGGGTTTTTTCTTAGATTTTATTAAATGTTAGTTGAGATTTCAAGTAGCCAAAAGTCTCAATTTTTAAAAAATTTCTGGCTGTTTCCATAGCAACCAAGATACCTTGCAACCAAATTTTATTTATATTTTTATTTCGGGTATCAAGTAGTACTAAAGGAGAAAGTTTCATCAGAATCAGTGCATGACAAAGAAGTTTTATTATTTATAGAAAATGGCTATCAAAGAGCTAATTTTTGCTAGATTTTGATTATCTGCCCTTTTTTAAATATTGAGAAAAAAAAAAAACAATTAATTTTGATTCATTTTAATTAATAGCTTTAAAAAAATTGAAAAATTTATTATTCATTTGATTTCTCATATTTTTAAAAAAAAAAATGTTTGGAAAAGAAATTTTATTAAACAACTAGTGTCTGGTAAAATTTTAAAAAAGAAACAAATTATTTGGCAAAATGCCAGTTTTTGAATTTAAAAATTTTTAAACAATAAAATACCCACTCTACTTTTTATAAAAGTTAAATAACATTATTTAGTTTTTTTAAAATTTCAGTTATTTTTTCTCATAGTGTTTGCAATTTTTGATAGACCTCTTGAAAAACAGGGTAAAAATGTCCATTTTCGAAATGTTAGAATTTGGTCATCTTTGAGCCACCAATTGAGGAATTTGCTGTGACATTTAGAATTTTTTTTTTTATTTGTGAAATTTTTGCCCCGGATAAATGTATTATTTATCTATAAAAATAAAGATGATTATACCATATGAAATGAATTATATAGCATTTTTATGTGTGAAATGGGCATAAATGGGGCCAAAATCTATTTTTGTCCGTTACCGACTGCAACTAAGGTGGTAACCTTAATTTTGAATGTTGATTATGTCATACTGTATGGGCATTAATCACCTGAAAAAGTTTCATTGAAATCGCCCATGGTGTGTGCCACAGCCCTATAGTAAAATTTTGGTCCTTACAGAGAATTGAATGTCAAAATATGAATGAAGCAAAACAAATGAGGCCAATGGGCCACAATGCTCACCTGAGTCACCATTGACCCTGCTGTTTTTTATCACAAGATAAAACAAGAGGTCTATGAGGGCCTTAACGGTCACATGCATATTATACACCATTGTACAGGATCCACAGAAGTATAAAACTTGAGGTACTGTGAATAAGATCACAAAATAATACTCCTGACTACATTTTTTTAAAGAGTCCATTCAACTTTTGTATTAATGTGATTTTGAGCTTGCCAGTAAGACCTTGGTTAAAAAAAATGACACATCCTCTGTAATGAGTAAATTTTAGGTGAAATATAGACATCCAATGTTTCTCCATTAGAAAATGATAGACAAGTCATGAATTTAACACTTTTTATACCAGTGACCTTGAATTTTCCACTTGAGTCAAAGGTACTGTAGGAGTACTTTTTTCTGGGGTGGTATTAATTTACGCTATGTACTCGGTCACAATTTTCCTGCTGGAATTTGTCCATGCGTACTTAATATAAATGTAAGGCATATAGTGACAATCTAGAAAATCCATGTATTTTTCTTACCCGCCGATTAAACAGAATTGAGATTCCGCTTGGAATTATGACTCCATGGAAAAAAGTACGTCTACAGTATGACACACACTTGACTCTCATAAACGATCTTAATGTACCAAATATTCTAAAAATTCATAGTTTACCCACAATACAGCAGAATATCAAATGAATATAGCTGCTGATCCAAATGAATTATTTAAAACACTTTTCATATGTAGTTGATTCACTTACCAGCTTTACTATGGATATCTATGGGATCAATTAATTCCAAAATCTCACTATATCCTACGTCCTTTAGAGCAGTAATAAAAGCCTCTACTGTCTTTAAATCCCCATTCTCAATCAATGATAGAAGTTTTTCTGTACGTTCACTAGAAGTGGGAGCACTTCTGATCGAATCCATTGCGCTCCGTGCAGAGCATTCTGATTTTGATAACAAAGAAATCAGAGCTCCAGGTTCTAACTCGGAGACAAGTTCATTCCTATAAACTTTCACTCTCTGCTTGGTTAGTTCTGCCTTAGGAATATCTGAAAGACAACACACAAAAAAAATCATTTTCTGCTGTGTAAGACTCTCTGGGGAAGGTATATATCAGTACATAATGCAAATAAATGTTATGTGTGCATTGCATTATAATGTATTTTTTTTGAAAGATGAACTTTACCTGGCTTAGCTGCTGGTGGGTGTGAATAAGAAACCTGTACCCTGATCTCCAGAGGCTCTGTTCCCTGAACAGTAGGTATATTTACCCTCTTTATCATCCCTAGTATAAACTCCACCAGCCTGTTGTTTTCTCTGGCATTGAGTAATGTCCGTACAGCTTGGTCAGTGATCGGCCTTAACTGAATGACTACAGAACCAGTAGAGACATCTTCAATAGTCATTTGTCCATACGTAGCAGCCTCCTCAATAATCCCAGTGTCTGTGGAGAGTACCTGCTGATGAAGTGCTTGTTCAACCTGCCTTCCTTTGGAACCTTCCACTGTTAGCTTTACATTTATGGATCTATTCTGGACACTTTCTATAAGAATATACAATTCATGTTCTGTACATAATACTGTAAATCAAGTTTTATTTGTGTGCGAGAAATTTTCGCAAAGTACTCGAGAGCCCCATCATCACAAATATTTCTTGCCACGAACTGGTCTTTAAAGTCTATTTGCCTTATAACAACAGATAAAAAATTTGGCTTCATCAAGGAAAGTAATTTCGCGAACTAGTTTATCCCCGGTAAATCGTGAAATAAAGTCGTTGCAAATAAAAGTTGGTTTACAGTATCAATACATTTAAGGACTGGTAATCAAAGATGTTTGATTTTTTTTTTAATCGAGAGCTAAAGTGAATTCTACACTTTTTATAATTTCATACTTTTACATTGCCTTTACCTGAAGATACTGTGTTGTTGAATTTGTGTGATACTCTCCATTCAAACTCTGCATCTGTTTCTGCAAAAAATTAGAGCAATGAAGTTATGGGAAGCACTATTTAAGCAATAAATTTGACTATAATTGAATGATGTTTTATGAATTGCAATCCATCAAAAAATTTATGCAAGAAACACTGACTGACTTCATTTAAAACTTCTAGTATACTTGAATCAGAATTAAGATATGTTTATGCCCCCATAAACGATGTTTCAGGGGTATATAGTTTTTGTTGTGTCCATCCTTCCGTCTCTCTCTGTATGTCTGTTTGTCTGCAAAAACTTTAATCTTGCCCATAACTTTTGCTTAAGTGGAGCTATGACTTTCATATTTCACATGTGTCATTGTGACAAGACCTTTCTTTGGGTACCACCAGATTTTACCTTTTGACCTTGACTTTTTAGTTAGACCCACTTTTACACAAAAATTCCAAACTTTTACTTTTGCCATATCTTTTAAACAGTAAATACCAGGGCATTTATTTTTCAAATATATATTTTTTGTGGAAAGACCTTTCATTGGATAACAACCTTGACCTTTTGACCTTGACCTTGGAGATTTCCGTACTTACGAAAAAACTTTAACCTTGGTCATATCTTTTAAACAGTAAAGGACAGGGCTTTCATACTTCACATATGTAATCCTTGTGAGAAGACCCTTCATTGGACACAAGAGCTTTGACCCTTTGACCTTGACGGTTGACCTTCTTTAAAAAAGCAACCCTTGACCATAACTTTAAAAGGGTTAGGACTAGTGCTTTCATACTCTACATATTAAATCCTTGTGACAAGACCTTTCATTTGATAGCTAGAACTTTGAACCTTTGACCTTGGAGTTTGACCTTCTTTTTAAAATTTTTAACTTTGGCCATAACTTCTGAATGGTTAGGGCTAGGGCTTCCATACTTCACATATGTATATGGCAAGACCTTTCATTGGATACCAATTACCTTGACCTTTTGACCTTGACTTTGTAGATTTTTGAACTTAGAAAAAACTTTAATCTTGGCCATAACTTTGAACGCTAAGGGCTAGTGATCTCATACTTTACATATGTAATCCTTGTAAGAAGACCATTCATTGATCAGAATACCAAAAACTTTGATTCTTTGACCTTGACCTTGGCATTAGACCTACTTTTAAAAAGCAAACCTTGACCATAACTTTGAAAAGGTTAGGACTAGTGCTTTCATACTCTACATATTTAATCCTTGTGACAAGACCTTTCATTTGCAAGCAAAACCTTTGACCCTTTGACTTTGACCAACTTTTTAAAAATTTTAACCTTGGCCATAACTTTTGAAGGGTTAGAGCTAGGGCTTCCATACATATGTATTTTTTGTGGCAAGACATTTCATTGGAAACCAATTACATTGATTTTTTGACCTTGACCTTGGAGATTTCCGTACTTATGAAAAAACTTTAACCTTGGCTTACTTTCATATTTCACAATTGTATTTCCAGTGAGAATACCCAAATTTTGCATTAATGTCCAATTCACTTTATCAGTTCGACATTGTCGACATCGCAATAATGACAATGTAGACCCGATATTGTGATTAGATTGTCTACCTTGTTTTTATTCATTATGAAGATATTGCAATGTACACGATATTGATGCGATATCGCTTTTACAACGTCTATATTGTTATAATTTTTTCACTGTATGTTAACATTGTTGATTTCGCAATGTAAACAATGTTGATGCGATATCGCCTTTACATCGTCTACATTTTTATTGTTTCTACATGACGACATCGTCGACATCGCAATGTAAACAATGTTGATGCAATATCGCTTTTACATCATCTACATTGATACAGGTATTATTTCTAAAATGAAAGAAAATAATATACCACACTTACATAAAATGATTTTATGCGTTAAATGTGTTGACAATGATTTTACCAAGATAGATTAACATAAAAGGAAACGTTATGTTGCCATGATGTCCACTTCATAAAGGCCAACACAAATATGTAAACAAGACAAGAGGCCCAAGGGCCTTGAATCGCTCTTCTGATAAATTGTACAACCTATCACTTGTATTTGAAGCTTCTAACCCTAAGTATCCTAAGACCAAAGTTGCATCACCTGACAAAGTTTTATGATCCTTAGCCAATTAGGATTACTTTTTGGTCTACATTCTTGGAAAACCCAAAACGCATCAACTGACAAAGTTTGATGATTCTAAGCCAATAAATACCTAAGATACTGAAATATAGCCATAAAATGTCAAAAGTAGGTCACTGTGACCTACATTTTAGTCGACATTTTTCAGAGTCCCAAGATGCATCTGCTGACAAAGTTTGATAATTCTAAGCCAATAAATACCTGAGATATTCAAAAGTAGGTCACTGTGACCTACTTTTTGGTTGACAATCTCGGAAAACCCAAGATGCATCAACTGACAAAGTATGATGATTCTAAACCAATAAGTACTGGAGATACTTAAATATAGCATAAAATGTCGAAAGTAGGTCATCGTGACCTGCATTTTGGTTGACATCTTTTAGAGTTCCAAGATGCATCTGCTGACCAAGTTTGATAATTCTAAGCCAATAAATACCTGAGATATTCAAAAGTAGGTCACAGTGACCTACTTATTTGGTATACATTCTCCGAAAATCCAAGATGCATCAACTGACAAAGTATGATGATTCTAAACCAATAAGTACTAGAGAAACATAAATATAGCCATAAAATGTCAAAAGTAGGTCACTGTGACCTACTTTTTGGTCGACATTCTCCGAAAACCCAAGATGCATCAACTGACAAAGTTTGATAATTCTAAGCCAATAAATACCTAAGATATTCAAAAGTAGGTCACCGTGACCTACTTTTTGGTCGACATTCTCCGAAAACCCAAGATGCATCAACTCACAAAGTATGATGATTCTAAACTGATAAGTACTAGAGATACATAAATATAGCCATAAAATGTCAAAAGTAGGTCACTGTGACCTACTTTTTGGTCAACATTCTCCGAAAACCCAAGATGCATCAACTCACAAACTTTGATGATTCTAAGCCAATAAATACCTAAGATACTGAAATATAGCCATAAAATGTCGAAAGTAGGTCACCGTGACCTACATTTTGGTCGACATTTTTCAGAGTCCCAAGATACATCTCCCGACCAAGTTTGATGATTGTAGGTCTAAAGGTAATCAAAATATGCCTTTTAAACAATTTGAAAACAAATGCCTGCAAAATTCTAAAAGTAGGTCACAGTGACCTACTTTTTCTTACATATGTTTTAAGGTTCCAAGATGCAGCAACTTTCAAGATTTGATGATTCTAACCCTTTCAGTGCCTGAAATAATGGGATTAAATGTTTTAAAAAGGATAAGTCATAAAGTTCAAAAAGTAGGTCACGGTGACCTACTTTTGAGTTAACATGATGTGAAGTCCTAAGATGCATCAACTTACAAGATTTGATGATCCTAGTCCTTATAGTAAGCAAAATATAAACATTTTTATATAATTGTAAATTTAGGTCAACTTTAAAGTGACCTTGAGACCACGCCCTTTGCCCCAGGGTCATGCCTTGAACAATTTTTAATCTTCAACATATCCTGATCCTTGTATGTAAGTTTGGTGAAAATCTGCCTGGTGGTTCTGGAGAAGAAGATTTTTTAGCAACCAGTACTTTTGGTTTTGTTTTCCTGATTATCTCCCCTTGTTTTAAGGTCCCAACCCTTATTTTAGTAAAAATGGTAGCCCTTGGGCCAAGGATACCCTGTGACAAATTTGACACTGATTGGCCAAGGGGTTCTTGAGTTATGGCCCATATTCTAAAAAGTTAACGCACACCGCACACCGCACAAATGGCCATAGCATTAGCTCTTTGAGCCTTTGGCTCAGAAGAGCTAAAAATAAGAATGCATTATTCACACAAATATCTACTCATTATCGACCAATATGGCTGTGTCCACGATGTGAATGATGTAAACAAGAAAAATGAGAAGGACAATGTTGACACGATGTCGACTCGATATCGACCAACATTGCAAAGTCGACGATGTAAACGATGTAAACAAGAAAAATAAGAAGGGCAATGTTGACACGATGTCAACTCGATATCGACCAACATTGCGATGTCTATGATGTGAACGATGTAAACAAGAAAAATGAGAAGGACAATGTTGACACGATGTCGACTCGATATCGACCAACATTGCAATGTTGACGATGTGAACGAAGTAAACAAGAAAAATAAGAAGGGCAATGTTGACACAATGTCGACTCAATGTCGACCAACACTGCAATGTTGACGATGTGAACGATGTAAACAAGAAAAATAAAAAGGTCAATGTTGACACAATTTAGACTCGATATCGACCAACATTGCAATGTCGACGATGTGAACGAAGTAAACAAGAAAAATGAGAAGGGCAATGTTGACACGATGTCGACTCGATATCGACCAACATTGCGATGTTGACTATGTGAATGATTTAAACAAGAAAAATAAGAAGGACAATGTTGACACGCTGTCGACTCGATATCGACCAACATGGCTGTGTCGACGATGTGAACGATGTAAACAAGAAAAACAAGAAGGGCGATGTTGACACAATGTCGACTCGATATCGACCAACATTGCAATGTCGACAATGTGAACGATGTAAACAAGAAAAATAAGAAGGGCAATGTTGACACAATGTTGACTCGATATCGACCAACATTGCAGTGTCGACGATGTGAACGATGTAAACAAGAAAAATGAGAAGGGCAATGTTGACACAATGTTGACTCGATATCGACCAACATTGCAATGTTGACGATGTGAACGATGTTAACAACAGAAAACAGAAGGCAATGTGTACATGCTTTGGACTCATTATCGTTTAACAATGTTATGTATTGATAGATAAACAAAGGTATTATGATGACTATTATCCAACATTGTCATGTTGAATATGTTGTGATATAAGGAGGACTGGTATTTCACTGCGATGTCGACAATATCGAAAAATCATCGTGCACTGGACATACCTCAAATTTTGGTACCAATAT